AGCCCGTCCGTTCTGGCTTGTGTGGAACGGACGGTCCACATAGGCAGACCGTCCGTTCTGGCTTGCTGGAACGGACGGTCCACATGCTTTTCTGGACCGTCCATTCCGGGCTTCGGATTTTTCCAAATTTAAACCAAAATTATGGTAAAATCACTTTATAAGAAGCAGATTAAAACCTTAATTAAAAAAAAGAATCTTTTTGAGCCGTCTTTGGCAGAACTTTGAGGGCTTTTGGTGAGATCCAAAGAGTTCAAGGAGTTCTAAGTCTCGTTTTCTCGAAGCGATATACTGAATAGCAGATTCGAGTCCTAAGAGACAATTTTTAATCGTTGGAATCCATCCCGAGGTGTGGATACGTGTAGAGGGCGAGGTAATCTTTCTACCTAACGTGATCGAACAGATTCTTCAATTGATACAGGCCCCAGATCGATTGACGTAAGCGTTCTTACTTTTTCTACGATTCATAGAAGCATGGTTCTAGGGTTTCATAAATTTTTGTTTTACATCCGCTGCGCAAACCCTAGAATCGATCTCTTAGGAATAGGATTCGCTCTAGAGATCCCAGGAAACCCAACAGTGGTATCAAAGCGTGGTTGCTCTGTTTTGATTTCGTAGAACCCAATCACGCACGTTTTAGGATTTGAATTGTTTGAATCCATGTTTGCTTTGATTTCTATGCATGTTTGATGATTGAATCTATTGAAATTGCATGTTTCATGTTGCATAGATTGCAGGAGTTCGAATTTTGAGTGTACAGAAAAATTCGGATCAGTTTCGGGTCTGATCGGGGCCGAGAACGCGGGAAAACGTGATCTGATCACGTAGACCTACCCTTGACCGTCCATTTTGCTTGGTTTCAGTGCGGAACATCCGTTCTGACTTCTGAAATCGAGACCGCTCGTTCTGCCGAGCCTAGAACGTCCGCTCTACATCTAGAATGGACAAATTTCGAAATTTTTCGTTTTCTAAGTTCGATTGTGCAATCGTTGCTTAATCTGATTGACTGCGACTCAAATAGACATGATTTATTCTTATGGATGGTCCATAGTGAATGAATGCATGTAACTTAATAAAGATATTGGATATGCTTGATTGAGTGGGAGCTTCAAGATTGGGATTACATAATCGAATTGATGGTCTATTCGGATTATGTAATACATCTGATCAAGGAACAATGGTTGATCCTTGATATGTACAATCATTGCACAGAAACCGGTTTGATCTAGGAGCTCTAAGAGTAAAGCACTTGTCAAGGCCTCGATCGTACGTGTCATGGGTCATGCCAAAGCTGGGTGTGCCGTATTATCTTGGTGAGGCAAGATGGAGAAATGGTGGTTCTCATAGCTTGAAAATAGATGCTTGATCTAAGAATGTTTTCGAAAATCCCTTTTTCATATAATGCTAAGTGTGTACCTCCCATTACTAGGGCACCTGTCAAGGCATTGATCACCCGTAACACGGGTCATGCCAAAGCTGAGCGTGCTAGATTATCTTTGTGAGGCATGGTGGAAAATCGTAGTTCCCACAGCTTGAATATGGTTTACCTTAGGCTAAGTCGTCAGGTTTGACTTGAGACTTAATGGTACAAATGAGACAAGTATGCAATGATATTCGATATCATAGTCTCATAAAGGATCTAAGAATCACATTGGATGTGATTGACATTAGATGTCTACCTAAATAACATAGGGATAAGTGTAAAAACTTAGGAGAATGGAGAAGAATGTGTTTCTTATTACTCTCTCTCTTGAAAGTGTACAAATAGAGGAACCCAAATAGCCTATTTATAGAAATCCCGAAGTTACTATTCATGTATACGGTCAGTGTGAACAGTAACCGTATATATGAACAGTAAATCGGTGTGAACAGTAACGGTGGACTCCACCATAAATATATTTTATTTATAATACTCTCCCTTGGAGCCACCGTTAGTAAAAACACAATTGCGTGTTTCGGTGTTGCCTCGTTAAAACCCTTATCAGTAAAACCCAATGAGATAAAACCTGATAAGGAAAAAAGTTGTACAACTACACGCTCCCCCTGAACAGGACATCAAAGATCCCGTAGATCTTTGCATTTCCATGTCCTTCTGTAGGCATCGGAAGAGCCGTGGTGAACAAGTCTGTTGCATTGTCACATGATCATACATATCTGACTTCAATCTCCTTACTCTTTTCAAGATCCTGGGTATATGCGAAGAACTTCGGGGGAATATGTTTTGTCCTATCACTTTTGATGAATCATTCCTTAGTCTGTGCAACGCACACAACATTGTCTTCAAACAATAGTGTTGGCATCATGTTGATAGGTATTCCACTAGCCTTATGAATATGTTGAGATAGTGATCTCAACCATACTGATTCTCAGCTTGCTTCATGTAATGCGATGATCTCGGCATAATTAGCTGATGTAGCAATTAGAATCTGCTTTTGAGAACGCTAGGCTAACGCAGTTCCATTGATTGTGAAGACGTAGCCTTTTGTGACATGTCTTTATGTGGGTCTGATAAATAATCTGCATCTGCAAAACCAACAATTTTTTTTTTGTGTTTTTAGGGTAAAACAACCCAAGATCAATATTTCCTTGAAGATAACAAAATATATGTTTAACCCTATTCCAATGTCTTCGTGTTAGGGTAGAACTATATCTTGCTAATAGATTGGTAGCAAATGATATATCTAGTCTAGTACAATTTGCAAGATACATAAAAACTCCTATTGCACTTAGAAACGGTACTTTAGGACCAAGTATCTCTTCATTATCTTCGCGAGGACGAAATGAATCCTTTTCAATGTCCAATTCTATTAACCATCGAGGTACTTAGTGGATTTGCCTTATCCATATTGCATCGTTTTAGTACCCATTTTGTATAATTAGATTGATGTAAAAAAATTCAATCTTTCAAATGTTCTATCTATAACTCAAGACAATACTTGATTTGTCTAAGATCTTTCATTTCAAATTCCCATTTTAAATAAGTAGATGCATGCTGGATTTCACGGGAAGTACCAATAATATTTAAATCATCAACATATACAACAATAATCACAAACCCAGACATTGTCCTTTTGATAAATACACATGGTGATATAGGATCATTTGTATATCAATTTTTCAATAAATGCTTACTCAAACGTTTATACCACATACGTCCTATTGTTTCAGCCCATACAATGATCGTTGTAA